TTATCGTTTGATTTATAATTAATATAATATAAGGAGTGAAATATTTAATTGATATTTATCATTTTGGATTGGAATTAATATGAGGAGTGAAACTAACATTTCATTATATAAAAATAAAAATAAAAAAAGTAAAAAAAATTCAATGACTTACCATTCAATTGATCGTTTTGTTCTTATGAATTTTATTTTCCACCAACGAATCAATTTTTATTTTTCAAAACCCTTTTTAATCTTCACGATTTACATTATAATTCATGTAATGAGTTTTTATTTTCCATCAACAGAGCAATTTTTAATCTCCATACTTTACATTATAATTCATCCATTAAATTATATTTAACTGAGGTTACAAATATTTTAAAAGTTACATTAATATATTAATAAGGACATTCAATGAATAAAAAAGAAATTACACACGGAAATTCAATGACCAACATTCAATTGATTTTTTTTCTTTACAATTTTAATTTTCATCAACAAAGACCTTATTACTAATTTAATTAATATTTATCATTTAATTTAGATTTAATATAAGTGGTGAAATATTTAATTGATATTTATCATTTGGGTTGGAATTAATATAAGGAGTGAAACTGATATTCAATTATTAAAAAAAAATCAACAAAAATTTAGTGACTTATCATTCAATTGATTATTTTGTTATTACAATTTTTAATTTTCATCAACAAAACACTTATTAATCTTCATGATTTACTTATAATTCATCCATTGAATTTTTATTTTTCATTAACAAAGCAATTTTTAATTTTCATCAACAAAGCCTTTATTAATCTTCATGATTTACGTTACAATCCATCCATTAGGTTATTATTTAATTGAGGCTACAAAATTGAAAGGTTGCATTAATGTATCAATGAGGTAACAAATGTGACAAATGTTGTATTATTACATTAATTGGGATATTCGATCACTAAAAAAAGAAAACTACACACGAAAATTCAATGGCTTATCTTTCAATTGATTAATTTTTCCTTACATTTTACTTTTTATTTTTCATCAACAAAGCCCTTAATAATCTTCATAGTTTACATTGTAATTTATGCACTAAGTTATTATTTAATTGAGGTTGCAAAATTGAAAGGTTGCATTAAAGTATAAATGAGGTTACAAATATATTAAAGTAAATAACTTCTAATTATTTGGGTTTTTAAGATTGCCAATAATTCTTTCTACTTCCAATCACTTTTCCCTACGTATGAATGATTGGAAAACATTCAATTGATTATTTTATTCTAAAATTTTTTATTTTTAATAAACAAAGTCCTTATTAATCTTCCTAATTTACATTATAGTTCCTGTATGAAGTTATTATTTAATTAATAAATATCATTTGGTTTGGAATTAATATAAGGAGTTAACTGACATTCAATTACTAAAAAAAATATTAAACAAAAATCCAATGACTTATCATTCAACTGACTATTTTGTTCTTAAAATTTTTAGGGGGAAGGCTCTTGTGTGTCAAAAAATAATTAAAGTGTGAGTCCAACTTTACATTAATGACAAAAATAGGTTAGACGTATTTTGATTAACAAAGTAATATTATTTATTAACTTTGGTAATTAGATAACATGATTATATTTTAATTAAATATTTTCAAAAAATTAGCCAAATAAGGATTTAATATGAAAGTAATTATGACCATTATAACGAACAAAACCAACCAGCCTTTCTTATTCTACCTCCATGCTATTATAGCTATAAAACCAACCTTGTTCATTATATTCTGTGCTCAAAATTTATAAGTAAAAATCAGCACAAAAGGGTAAGAACTATTGTTATTAAAACAATTTTTCTTATGCTAGAGTTTCTCAAAATTCATTTCTAAGTTGATGATCAATGTGAATTTTTTCTTTCTCTCTTTCTTTCTTTTTTTGGTTATCATTTATCTTGATTTGCATTTCAAATTGATTTCTATTATCATGGATTTAATTGTATCGCTAACTTTTTAATTTTGAATGATGGCAACATCATAGATGAATAGAACATCATCGAAATCACTAACAGAAATGAGGTTTGATTCATCAATAAATCAACAAAATAAGTCAGGTCATCAATTTAATTTGAAAAATATTAACTTTTTCTATTTTGTTAATTGTTAATATATATTTTTGTTGCCATATCTTAAATTTGTTTTCATATTTGTAGGATTAATGTCACCAAACAAAAGTTGCAATCATATTTTTATAAAACAACTAACTGCCTTTGAAGAAGTGGGTATAAAAGTATTCATACTTCGAAAATGTTCCATTCAAAAATGGCCTTGTTGAAGTTTTAAAACTGATTTTGTTTGATGAGGAGGTATTATATTATGTTAGAATAATGTTTCTTATAGAATTTTCACTTTAGATTAATAGTTTATATATATATAATTCGAAATGGAAAAATAAAAGCCATCAACCCCCAATACTCAAATGTAAATGATGAAATTGAACTCACCCTCACAATGAAGACTGAGATAGAGGAAATTGAAGACTTCATTCCTTATAACATGTCAACTTTATATTATGTGGAAATTTCAAAAATCTCAGACTTTGTACACGAAAGGAAATTTCTAGGTACCATATCCTTATTCACAATTATTGTGCATTCTACATTTAGATTTTAAACTAATAATATCAATTATCTCTATTATTATGAAAAATGGTATTAGTAATTCAAAAATAGTACGTATATTATTCATCGATACATAAGACGTGTAACGCACATGCTTACTACTAGTTTAATGAAAAACTAACGTTGTAAAAAGTGGAGTTTCACTTTTTAAACAATATTTTTTTACTTTCAAAATACTTTTCATATGATTTTTAAAAAAATTACTTTTAATTTCCTATTTTGTTCTGCAATGAATTATGAGTAAGCCTGGGCATGGTTCGATTTGAGTTGGATTTGTTTGATTAGTTGGTTTGAACATTTATTTGAGTAAATAAATAAATAAATAAATAAATAAATAAATAAATAAATAAATAAATAAATAAATATATATATATATATATATATATA